AAACCTTATAAATTAAGCGATAAACGAACGTGGAGTACAAATCATAATGACAGAAGGGAGTTTTATGAGCCCTATCCATGCGATTTGGCCATCCGCAATCGAATATTTTATTATCCACTCCATAAACGAAAACGAAACCCAAATCGCCGTAGAACCATGAGAACGCAATGCGTAATCAATTAAGTTAGGCCAGGAATAAATCGAAAACATTTTTGCTGGAGTGCCAGCGATTGCCACTTGTAGGCGTGGTATATAGTAGATTGTATATACCGAAGACAATAAATATATATATACAGATGTATAGCGCGCATTCTGACAGCTGACGTAGTGATAAGACCCCGCAGCTAAAAGCCACGCGATGTGACGAAGCCACGTACTCGTACACCCAGATACAACTGGCTTTTTCCCCGGAATTCACTTATCAAATTAAACGCGTTTCGAACTACATTAATACTTAAACCTTTTTTTGAACTACAGGAAAGATAACTTCCTGTACTAATTTCACATTCGCAAACTGAATCCCAAAGGCATTATTTAAATAACTAAAAGTAGAATTCGTCAACAAATCTTTGGGAATTACCCAGGGACCCAAGTATGGGGTGATAAGCTACTGTAAAGAATATAAATTCCCAAACTCGAACATATGTACTGGATATGAATGTATATTTCATATTTATTAGTTGCATACAAATATATTCTTTAGTAGCTAGCAATCAGCATTAACCACCATTAATTAGTTGATCTCAATGTTTGATAATGAGGGTCCGGCGCAGTACGGTTGGGAAAATCCCTTAAATAAGGCAATAACATTAACAGGCTGGACAATAATTCAATAATAAGGTCAAATTAATCAAAATAATTTTTTTACATCCCATTTCAAAAAGTTATTCCCAATTTTATTACACGATAATTAGATTTTACCTAAGGGAGTACGTGCAACCTAATAATTTTGGTTACAAAAACTTTAGATATTTCCAACTTGATGTTTAGTCATGAAAAATATTAAAATAAAATACATTTCAATTCTTATTCAGACGGGTAGTTCTATTATACTGACGAGTAGTGTAGACTGTTTATGAGACACGTCGCAAACAGTGGGTACAATTCGGCTATAAACATCAAATAAGCACTAAGCCAACCATAATCGGCGGCGTTAAACTGTAAAAACAGGAGATAAGTCGGCTGCTTCCGTTGTTTCTTTATCTTTCTGTCTCTGCTTCGACTTTTGCTGTTTTCGCTTCCACTGCATCGCGAATTGCGGATTGCGAATCGGAGTCAATTGCCTCCAAGCTCTGTCTTAACGGTACCTGGAGCAAACGAGAGCGACAGAGAGGTAGATGGGGGGAGTGGCGGCGTGCGAGGGAGAGCGACTAATAGATTGCATGAAGCAGAGACAAACGAGCAAACAACGCATCAAGTAACAGTTAAAAGTTGTTGTTTGCTCTCTTTCTTCCCTTCTCTTTCTCTCTCGACTGCAATTAGCAAGCGAGTAACGTCAACTACCGTTGAACTCAATTGAATAGAAGACGAAAGGGGGAGGGAGACAGATGGAGATATGCTCAAAGACATCACACAGTGGTTGGCAAGAAAATATAAACCCAAAAAGGGATCAAAACTTGCACTAACAACCCGAAAATTTCTAGCCGTTTACAACATTTGAAAATAGAGCAATAACAAGAGAGAACGCTATAGTCGGGTTGGTGTCCCGACTATCTAATACCCGTCACTCAGCTAAAGGGAGTGCGAGTACTCGGGTTGGTGTCCCGACTAATAATCGTAACTCAGCTAAAGGGAGTGCGAGGGAGATAGATATATTTTTTTTGATTGCGTATAACTTTTTAATGAATGGTCCGATTTGAAAAATGTCTTCTACATTTCGATAGGTATAAATATACACAACAAAATTGCATTTATACTTCTCGGAAATCTTTAAAGATGTGGGCGCAGGACCCATTTTAAAATCGTTAGTGGGCGATTGTGGGCGTTAGAGGGGGCGTGGCGCTCGTCTGAAATAAACTTGCGCTGCGTAGGAAGCCAAAGAATATGTGTGGGAAATCTCAATCTTCTAGCTTTTGTAGTTTCTGAGATCTCAGCGTTCATACAGACAGACAGACGGACAGACGGACAGACGGACAGACGGACAGACGGACATGGCTAGATCGACTCGGCTAGTGACCCTGATCAAGAATATATATACTTTATGGGGTCGGAAACGCTTCCTTCTAGCTGTTACATACTTTTGCACGAATCTAATATACCCTTTTACTCTACGAGTAACGGGTATAAAAAGTACGCATTGATGGAATTTTAATCATGTCACAGGTAAAAGGGGTTTTACCTGTGCTTTCCCGCTCAGGTAAGTAGGGCCCATTTTTGACAGCTGCTATTTGTATCAACTTTAATGTTGATCACCTTTCCCAATCTTTTACTAACTTCAGAAAAGCTTATCCCAATTCAAAAACAACACATTTTTTTGATAATTATGAAAATGCGGCATACTCTTTTATATTCTTATTGTTCAAAGTTTCAGTTAAAGCAAACACTTTGAAAAACTTTAATACACTTTAATAGATTAGGAATGACTAAATTTTGTTGACCTCCTAAAATCAAAAGTAATATTAGATCTTCAACGCAATTATAGCCTTTACAACGTGGGAGGTCGGTTTCATCCCACGCTGCATTGTATATCTTAGATTCTGACCCCACTGTGCACCGTGGGGCTAAGCATCTCAAATGCAGAAATCCGAAGCCGCATAAAAGAAGTAAAGTTAAAACCGCGACTGTTTGAATCTGTTTGCCTTTTATTAAATGCCGGTGAGACACAGAGAGAGGTGGAGTGAGCGAGAGAGGGAACCGCCAGAACGATCGGAGGCTGCGTGCGAGGGAGCGAGCGAGAGGGATGATGCGGGCAGGTAAAAAACCCGTCATCGCTTTTGGGGGGCGGGGGGCGGGGCAGTTGGTCTGCAACGCTTAACTGGTTCTTGGCAACCAACTTGTTTTTTCTGTAGATTGCCGCCGTCTGTGGTTTATTATGTTTTTTCCCTCCGACTTTTGCCTTTGCAATTTTTAAAATGGTAACTTGATTCAAATGAAAAAAACTTACCCAATAAAACAATGGCAATAAAAGCGTAGACGTGGATTTATCTGCTCCTTTCAGTTCGATCAATTGATTTGTTTGGGAAACTTATTTTTTCTCGCCTCCGTGGGTTTTTTATTTTATATATTTGAAACTATTTTTACGCAGGGATGAAAACAATTTTCAGCATGGCAACAATACAAAATGTTGCAGCACATTCGAAGCAACAACAAGAACAATATGAGGAAGGAACATTTGATAACCGAGGTCAGGCAGAAGGTGCAAGTGGGACAGAAGAACCAAAAATATTTTTTATTTTTATTATTCCGCGAAGCAGAATTTCCGAATAATATTTATTTAATTAAGACATTTTCACTTGGCCACCACATAACAGCCAGCACTGAAAAATTCCACCGCCGCTCACTTTTTCCACTTCTTTGCCTGAACCTTTTTTTCTTTATTTCTGTTTTGTTCGGTTTTTCTTTTCTTCTTCGTTTCCTTTAATTTGTATTTTTTGCCACGATTTCGAGGTGCCGTTTGTTTGTTGTTGCTAAGAATTTCAATACAATTATGGCCCAAATAGCATTTTCACTTTTCCACACAAACACGCAGCCAGCAAACACACAAGCTCACACACACACTCACATTCACAGTTGTTTGGCTCCGTTTTAAATGAAAATAATCAAACATTTACATTGCCGTGTGTTTTTGCCCCACGAAAATGTATGATTATGTATGATTAGTTTTGGCTGCTCGCCTGCACACGCGAAAATCCGACGAAACAAAGAAACAAGAAACGACCGCGGAGGAAACGTAACAAATACAAAATCGCGTACGAATCGCGTCCGAATCGCTCGCCGTTTCAAACAAAAATACCAGTCAAGAAACTACCTCTAGAGGTGGAGAAACATCGATGAAAATATCGAGGTTTTTTGGCGATAGTTTATGTCACATTACCAAATTTAAAGAAACGGCGGAAAATGTGTTTTAAAATAAACCTACTGTATTAGCATGTTTTTAGATATTCAACTGGTGGTGTAGGAGGGAAGCGACGGTGTATTAGGCTGTAATTGTTTAGTTTTTTTTTCCGAATAAAGCCTTTGTTTTTTTTGTTTTAATATGAATTATAAAAGTCTTTCAGATGGGCTATATTATTCTCCTAATTTATAAAAAAAAATAAAATATTAAAAGTTTTTTCAAAACATCGAAAACATCGATATCTGCGATGTCCACCTCTAGGGAAAATTCACATCAGCTGCTCAGCTAACAGAGCAACAAACGGTTAACGCGATTATGAGGCCGCCAACAGGGGTCTGTAAAGAACAAACGTTTAAAAACACGCCACCTATAACTTTAAATAAGTGGTGGAAAGAAACAAATTAGTAAGTTCATTATATTTGATAATATTTGTAGCACGACTTACGAGATTTTTAGTAATTTCGATAGCCTGGCTATTACCAATCAATTTTTTTTTTAGCTTCTGTACCTGAGCGGAAACTATTCAAGAATATATATTGGTTTTTTAGTAATTATCGGTAACATTTACATAAGTTTACCCACACGATGGCTTAAATTATTGACTCGGCTAAATATGTCTTTGCTTTGTTTTTTTTTTCCACATTATAATTTAATTTTGATCCATTTTTAAAATTTTTGCGCATTAAATGCAACCCTGCCAACTCAAAAATCTTAGGGGTTAAACCTCCTTTCTCCCGAGCCGTATGTTTTTTAAGAACATTGAAAATAATGTCACTAAATTAAATTGGCCCCTTTTTGTTGTCAAAATTAGTAGTTGTCTTCCCGTTTTGTTTGTTCCCCTGTTCCGTGCACAAATAACCGTCGATAGCCCGCCAAAATGCAGTCGTGGGCTCGCTGAGAAAACCGTAACGTAACGTGACGTGACCAGCAAATGACGTGACGGCGAACGGGCGGCGCAAAGCGGACGAGCGAGAGGCGAACGAGTAGAGAAAAATTATTGAGCGCAGAGAAAAGTCCACCAAATCGAACGTCGCAGCAAGTGAAAAAGGCGAAAAAGCCCGGATAGAAAATAATAATAGTAACCAGATACACCAGATACTAGTGTTTAGCCGCCGAGCCCGAGCCAGAGCCGAAATGAATGAGGAATACGACGCGATTGTGCTCGGAACGGGCCTGAAGGAGTGCATCCTCAGCGGGATGCTGTCCGTGTCCGGCAAGAAGGTGCTGCATATTGATCGGAACAAGTACTATGGCGGCGAGTCCGCCTCGATAACGCCGCTGGAGGAGCTCTTCCAGCGCTACGGCCTGGAGCCGCCCGGTGAGCGTTTCGGGCGTGGCCGCGACTGGAACGTGGATTTGATTCCCAAGTTCCTGATGGCCAACGGACAGCTGGTCAAGCTGCTGATCCACACGGGCGTCACCCGCTACCTGGAGTTCAAGTCCATCGAGGGCAGCTACGTCTACAAGGGCGGCAAGATAGCCAAGGTGCCGGTGGACCAGAAGGAGGCCCTCGCTTCCGATCTCATGGGTTCGTTTTTACCATATTTAATTCCTCCTCTTTTTTTTTTCTTTCGAAAATTGTGCAAATTACCAGCTGTGCGTGTGTGTGTGTATGTACTCGTATTCGACTGTTATCTGCACCCCCTCTCCCTCTCTCTCTTTCTCCTTTCTTCTTTGTCTCGGCTTTTTCACTCGCTGGGCTGCGTTCTTCTTGTTGTTGTTGATTTTTGACTGTGACACGTATGTGTGCGAGCCGAAAAACAGTTGTTTTCTTCTTCTTGGCCAAGAATTTCTACAAATTTCCCCACACATTTCCACACCTTGTTTATTTGCTTAACCATTAACGCGATATTATATTCAAGGGGTCTCAATTTAAATCGCTTTTGGCTGATTCATACACCTGCCGCTAATTGGTCGCTTCCATTTTACACCTGAATTTCGCTTTGGTTGAAATGTACAGAGTTTTTTTTTCTCTTCTCCACGGCAGCAAAATGCAATTAGTCAAACACGCTCTATTTATTTATGATTGGGTCTTGAATTGTTTCCATTTCAATTTTACGAAGTTTTTGCAACCAACTTTTTGGCGAGGCGCATTGAACCCCTTCACTTTACAGTGGAGCCTGGTAGTCGCAGACTTTTAAAGACTTTAGAAAGCAGAAAGCTCTATAATCTTAAACTGAGCTTAAAAATGTTAGTTGGAATATTTATTTTTTTATCATTCCAATAAATATCATACTAATTATAAATAAAAATTGATTTTGAATACAATGTTTAATATTAATATTTCAATGTTTTGTCATTGTTTATTTTATACAACATGCTATTAATTTTCTTATTTATAATCTGGATGTTTAAGAACTATGCTTTCTTGTAAATTAAAAGTAGTTTTTAACCCCAGAAAAGAAATAAAAATTGTCAGTTTAAAACCTTAAAATAACAAAAAAAAACTTAACATGTATGTACGATTCTTTAAAATGGTATAAAAATCGACATTTGGGTAATGAAAATTAACCCATTTTTTATATTAACTGCGATATTAAAAAGTATTTATCAAGAAACCTTAAATTCAATAAAGGAGTCGTTTTCTCTTTTAATTTGCTTCACTGTGGCCGCATTACACATATGCTCAGAATGACGTCATAGGGTGGCCAAGTGGTTTCTGATTGTTGGTGGTGGCTCGCCCGCCCCCTAAATTGAGGGTTTCCAACTGTAGTTGTAGTTGCGTGCGGGTATCCGTTTTTGTGTGTGTCTGTGGCATGCAAATGAAAATGAAAAGGGAAACTTAAAACCCTGGACTCGCACACTCCCTTATATGCAGATCCTATTCCCAAGACTGACCAATATGCTTGCATATTTATTTGCAGGTATGTTCGAGAAGCGTCGCTTCCGGAACTTCCTCATCTACGTGCAGGACTTCCGGGAAGATGACCCCAAGACCTGGAAGGACTTTGACCCCACCAAGGCCAACATGACGAGTCTGTACGAGAAGTTCGGCCTGGACAGGAACACGCAGGACTTCACCGGCCACGCCCTGGCCCTTTTCCGCGACGACGAGTATCTGAACGAGCCGGCCGTGAACACCATCCGGCGTATTAAGTTGTACTCCGATTCGCTGGCGCGGTACGGCAAGTCGCCCTACCTCTATCCCATGTACGGCCTGGGCGAGCTGCCCCAGGGATTCGCCCGGCTGTCGGCCATCTACGGCGGCACCTACATGCTGGACAAGCCCATCGACGAGATCGTCCTCGGCGAGGGCGGCAAGGTGGTGGGCGTGCGCTCCGGCGACGAGGTCGCCAAGTGCAAGCAGGTCTACTGCGATCCCAGCTACGTGCCCGAAAAGGTGAGTCTTTCATAAGGTTTCTTAAAAAGCATTTATAATTTAACGTTATTATTTGATACTTCAAAAGAAGACTAGAATATAAGTTACTAGTTTAAAAACGTTTTTTATTGAGAGAATTAAGAGAAGGTGTACATTTTTAGGTGACCTTAAACATATAAATACAGATTTTTATTTTATTAAGTCAAATTTAAAAGGTTAAGTGATACAGGTCATATTCTCATTATAATTAAGAATATATTTTTCAAAGATAGGATTTTGTTAAATTCATAAAAGGAAAGTTACTCTCTCACTTCATATTGTATCAGAAAATTGCTGATAAAATAAGTGCACACAAAAAATAACAGAGTTACCAAATAACAATCTCAATTGTCTTCGGTTCCGATACCTCACAAATATAATGTCTCTCCAACTCACACTCAAGGTCATTCAAATCACTGTAACTATCTTCCGTACTTCTAAATCCCAAAACGACACAATGTTCATTTCCACCGGCATTATTTGGTTCATCTTTCCTCCAAATATGCAATGTCAACGGTTTGCCAGTTGAAAACCATTCGTGCTTCCCATGATGTCCCAAGTCTGTGCCAGAGGTCCAGTACATATCCTCCATTTTCTTCGTCTTTAGATATTTGTTGACCAGACTCCATTTTTGCATGGTTTCAAATGTTATTAATTGGGCGCCCATTCGTCGACAAGATTTAAAAGCATCAAACCAATTCTGCGTAAGATTTCTTTCAATATAATATAACCCTGTACCGATGGTTACGAAATTTGTATCGGATAGGTAAAAAGAGTCGGGCACACCTAGAGCATGGAATAATGAAGTTTAAATTAGATAAACTCGTTCTTTATTTTAGTAAAGTCTCACCATCAGTAATTACTGGCGTTATTTCGTGCGCCAAAAACTGTGAGCATAATCCCAGGAATAACAGAAGATATAGCTTTGAGAACATTTTTACAATACTGATTTGGCGATTGGAAAGTTTAACGACTTTTATACTTTGAATACTTGTCAACCAAATGTTTTAAATTACGTTGAACTTTTGAAAATGGCTTTGTTGCCTTTAAGTATTATCACCGAATGACCGTATAATTTTCAACACAAAATGAATAATTTTATGCAGTGTAATTTTACTTGCAACCCATATTTGTTTTAGTCTTTTCAATTTGATAACAATGTGCAGTCAATATTATAAGGACAAACATCACTGTAGTAAATATTGATAGGGTACATTTCTTACATTTTCACACTGTATAAATATTAATCGAGTACATTTTATTTCTTTTTAACAGGTGCGCAAGCGTGGCAAGGTGATTCGTTGCATTTGCATTCTAGACCATCCGGTGGCCAGCACCAAGGATGGTCTCTCCACGCAGATAATCATTCCACAGAAGCAGGTGGGCCGCAAGTCGGACATCTACGTGTCGCTGGTGAGCTCCACTCACCAGGTGGCCGCCAAGGGCTGGTTCGTGGGCATGGTCTCGACCACCGTTGAGACCGAGAACCCGGAGGTGGAGATCAAGCCCGGCCTGGACTTGCTGGAGCCGATCGCACAAAAGTTCGTGACCATTTCGGACTACTTGGAGCCGATCGACGATGGATCCGAGTCGCAAATCTTCATTTCGGAGTCTTATGATGCGACCACGCACTTTGAGACCACTTGCCTGGATGTGTTGAACATATTCAAGCGCGGCACTGGCGAGACGTTCGACTTCTCCAAGATCAAGCACGAGCTGGGCGACGAGGAGCAGTAAGCGGGGAGCGAGCCTCATCTGGTTATGGTGCATTTGGACAGCTCAACATCAGCCACAAACATCGTAGATCGTCTCAGCGTCGTGGCCAAACCTTAAAGAAATACCCAAGATAAAAAAACCCAAAATAAAAGCCCAAAAAAACTAAAGAAAAACAGAAATCCCGAAATTGTATTACGAAAATGCTTTTCCATCGAGAGATGAAGTTTTAGATGTGAAACGAATTGCTTGCTTCGCGCAATATTGGATATGCCTAGAAAATATATATATATACAACAATATAACATAAATTGTGGCTCGAGCGCAGTTGCAAGACTCGACGCATACTCTCTAATCTTTCACCACCCGATCGGTAAATCAGTCACGCGACTATGCTTGGACTTTAGTTGTACGAGTATATAATAAAGTATATATATTAAATATGACATCGTATATATATATTGTCTATGTATATTGCCCTTTTGCTTGGTTTTCTTTTTTTTTTTTTGTGATCGACACAATTTGTGTGCCCTCCCAAGGCCGCGAAAATGCATAATACATACCTATAAACACGACACACACTTACACATGCATAATGCAGCATTATAATTGTAATTGTAATCCCCGACAACAAATAGAAAGGAAGGAATCGATGGTATTGAAAATGTAAACGGTCGAAAAAAGTTCATCGCAGCATACCCAAAATATTGCAATTGATCGAAGCGCGGCAGACAGCAAAGAATAAAAAAAAATAAGAACAGATTGTCAATGGTATAGAGAACTATGGTATTCCGCATTTTCAGAATTTACATTTTTAATAAAAATTAAAAAAAAAAATTTAAATAAGCTTTTGTTGTTGGCTTTGCTGACGGGTAGTCTTTTTTTTTTTTTTTTTTTTTTAATTTTTTGGATTTTTTTGGCAGTCGCCAAATCCTGGTTCTCTTCAGCGGCTGGCGCTGGATCTGCTGTGGCTGTCGATGGCGGCGACTGCCAATCCTGGGCATCTTCAGCCGCGCCCGGCATCTGGACGAAGACCTCACAAAACTGGGTCTTCTCACCGCACTTTGCCGCGCAGGTGTAGGTGGTGTTGTTTTCCACCATCGGCATCAGTGTAAAGCCGGAAGGTCTGCTGATGAGCATTGGAACATCGTGTGCGCAGCTGTGGGGCTGTGGCTCAACTTTGCTTTTAAACCAAACAGCCTTCTTGATGGAGACCAGCTGTATTTTCGCTTGCTGCGCCTCCACCTCCTTCATCTGCTCCTGCACTTTTTGCTTCTGAGACTTCGTCTCGGTCCCATAAGCAAATATGGGGCGTTTAGCCTCCAGCCTCCAGCCGCGGGGCCGGTGTCCGTAATTCCCTTATATCCTTCTCCATTTCGCGCACTAGATCTTTTTTTTTATTAAGATCCAACTTCATTTGAAAAAACGATATTCTGTATAGAGAGATTTAGTTTCTAAGGTCCTTTGGTCGAGGCATGTAAGTACTACTCCCCAACTGAAATATTTTACCGAGGATCCGAGGATAAAGTTTATTTAAAGCACTCTTGTTACCAGAAGGCTCTGGACTTACCATAACCATTCCACTTCCCCGAGTCACTTTTTAAATAAATACTGAAAAATTCAAATGAAAATAAAAACAGGCGTTTTTTGTCCATTGTCCATTCCAAACTCTGTTGTGTCGACTAGTTCAATTACAATTGAGCCTTTTTAAATTTTGTCCTGGAGCTTTTCACCTCACTGACTCATTTAACTCGAATCTTCAGGTTCACGGTTCCGGTCATATCGTGAACTGAGTTTTAACGTCCTCAGCTTTTGCCACACTGCAAAAGGCGGTATTTCTGAAATTATGAAACCTTAAAGGGGAGGACAATAAGAAATGCTTCTTCATAATATCATAATATCGGAATCGCCAGGCTTCTATTAAGTTTTCTAATCGTTTGGTGGTCTTTATTCGGAAGCAATTAAATTTACATCGTTGGATGCTATATTTTTGAGTTCGTTACGAATTCCCAAGTTAAATTGCGTTTTTCAGGGTCAGGGCCACTAGCTGAGTTGATATAGCCATGTCCGTCTGTCTGTCCGTCCGTATGAACGCTGATATCTCGGAAACTATAAAAGCTAGAAAGTTGGGATTACCCACTCATATTCTTTGGCTTCCTACGCCGCGCAAGTTTATTTCAGCCGAGCGCCACGCTCTTTCAAACGCCCACAAACGATTTTAAAATGTGTCTAGATTCCGAGAAGTATAAATGCAATTTTGTTGTGTATATTTATACTCATCGAAATGTAAAAGACATTTTTCAAATCGAACCATTCGTTAAAAAGTTATGCCAGATCAACGTTTTATATCTCCATCTCTCTCGCACTCCCTCTAGCTGAGTAACGGATATCTGATAGTCGGGGCACCCGACTATAGCGTTCTCTCTTGTTTCAATTCATTCTGTGCCCCATCTGTACATTGTACGCGTACATTGAATATGCCAAGCAGCATAAGTGATATTTTACGAACCCTGAACTAAAGAGACTCAGTTGTAAATGAAAATCTGTCCAGGATTCTGCATCCATAACTGACAGTCTAGCCGTTCCTGGTCTTGTTAGCTTTTCGCCGGATTTGAATCACGTAGCCATAGGGTTATAGTTATGACCAGGACTCCTCGTTCGCTTTATGTGACACAATTACGAATTCCACAGCAAGTGTTTGGGATGCATTTGAAATACTTGCCCCCGCTCCGTCCGTCCAAATCACCCCTTACATTGGTGGTAAGTGGGAAATTCTTATTGAATTGCATGTGGCATGCCACACGAGTCTGAGGGCTACTAGTTCCCTCGCTTTCGGGCATCCTCGTCCTGAATCCTGTCGATGCCCCGGGAATGTGTAGAATGCTGAGAATGCCGCTCTCGATTCCTGTTAGTTTTAATGCTGTCACTGACAGTTTGTGTTTTTTTCCGCACTTCACTTTGCCTTGGTTTTATTTTCCTTGCCCGACGACGTCGACGACCTGTCCAACAAAATGCCGCCAGTATTTTTCCAATTTCCGCTTCCTAGAAAAGGCAAAAGTGCAAAGACGTTTCGCATTATTTCGCTCTTGCCCAGTCACTGAGCATTGAACTCGTCTCAGGCCACAAGTGTTTCGGCACTCTTGAAATTGGTTGAAATCTAGGCATGAAATATTTAGGTCTTGAAACGCAAGCAGGTTTTGGCTTTTACCAATAGGAATTTTTGTAATTAAATGTTTTGCAATAAATAAATAACATTTTTTTAAAATAAAGCTTTATCTTTGTTTTCATTGGGGATTGAACCTCGGACTTCTTGAGATTCGCTAGTTTCGGTAAGTCGTCAGCCCACAGTGGTTTCCCCCGTAGGCCAAAATTCAAAAAATCGATAGAACCCAAAATTGGCAAAGATTATGCAAATTTTCTCTAAAATGCTCAAGCTTTTTCGTGGCGTACCAGATTTTTCTGGAAAACTTTCGGTACTTTCTAAAAATAGACCTAAAGTCGTGAGCACGTGTTTAGTTGCAAAGCAAAACTGCGCGCATCACTAACTTTAAAAGCGTGTATTTCTTAAATTACGTGTCCAAATTAATATTCTGTGATATGGATTTTGAAGTTAAAGGTATTATTTTTAAGTTTCAATATTAATAAAAGCTAACTTGTGTTGTTCTTATTATGAAATTACTTTCTAATGTTTTTAACAGCTGTTGTATTCGTCTTTTCATGTTTACTTAAAGTTTTAACTGTGTTCCCCCAAGATTCCCCGATTCATTTTTTATTCAGTGTAATTGTTAATACCTTAAGGTATAAAAAAAGTTAAAGCTAGCTGCAGATACTTGCAGATGTGTCCATAATCAACAATCTACTAACAGCCTCTATTTTTGTCTTTAAGGTCAAATCAGCTGTTTATTGTGTTCTTTATTCGTGTTTCGTGTTTTTATTAGGTTCAAATTGTAATTTTTGTTTTCTTTTGCTATTATTGGATTTTTTGTTTATTATTATTATTGGGTTTTTTTATTTTTCAAGAAATTTACAGGTAATAATCAAAACTAACGGATTAATATTTGTGGACGGACAAGAACCCGAAGGCATGGTTTCTTATCCGCTTAAATATGATTTAAATGCAATAATACTTTAATAAAAAAAAATTTGAAACTGAAAATAGCTACGTGTTTCAAATTTGGTCCGATATTTTGTATGGAAGCTATAGGACATAGTCGGGCGACATGTCCAATTTTTTGTTGCTATAATTAAAATATTTTTATAGAATTTTGGGAAAAATTTCGTAACGATATAACAACTAGAAGTATTTTTGGCCGCGGCTCCCATACAAGCGAAACCACTGTGCAGCCTACCTCATTATTAGGAATTACATTTATCCTTATTTCTATAATAATGCTTTATCCCTTTTTATAAGCCTAGATCTATTAGTTTATGTATTTGCCCAGCAATACTTTCAATTCCTCTCCGAATTCCTGTCACATTTATCATCTGCAATTCTCTCATTGCGGCTGATTTGTCATTGCTCTAAGGAATGGGCTTAACTACTTTCTCCATCTAACCATCTAACCCCAACTATTGTGTTTGTTGTTCTCTGGCGATGATGATGATTTTGCCGCTGATGTGGCCAAAACACGTCGCCCCAATACTGGTCAAGTCTTTCGCCACATTTTTGCTCCTCTAGCTTCCGTCTTGGCTGTGGTTTGTTTTTTTTTCCTGCAAGATGGGTCGAAACCACAGAAAAAAAAAACAAAAACGGAGAAAAACCGACGGGGAAGACCAAAATTTGTAACTGGGCAAATTGAAGTCAAAACTTTGGCGCTCAGCGCCGCATGCAAGTCACATACAAAAGCGGGGGGAGACGGCAGGGGGGATTGCCTGGATAATGGGCGTGGCAGGGCCAGAGGGGAGCGGTGGGGGAGATAGAGCTATGATGTCGACGCAGCACTGGCAGGCATGACTAAGCTGCCAGCCCCTCTCCAAGCCTGCATCTATATTCGCGTCCTTGTTGTTACTGCTCCCGTTGGCCATGGTCAGGCTAACGAGCCCAGCTTTCACACGGAAAAAAAATGTCCACTGACTCGAAAAATTATTTTATTATATTTCGATGAATATTAGATAAATTAGAAATTATTAGAGTAGCTGGGAGTGGCCGCCTTGCCAGGAATAATATATTATAAAATAAGGAAATGTAAAGAAAACTAAAAAAAAATGTTGTGGTTCTGTTAAAAATATTTTTATTTTTATAATACATTATTTAAAGAATTTTATAGATTTTTTATTTTGCTAAAAAATCTATTTTCCTTAAAAATATAAATATTAATATATTAAATAATTTGAACTTTTTAAGCTTGGTACATGCTTATTATAACCTGCGTTTTGCTATTTATTACTATAGAAGTTATAATTATGTACTTGTTTATCGATTAAGCAGACATTGTGAAAAGTTCGCGAAGAAA